TCCAAAGCTCAAAAGTAAATTGACTAAGGAAGAGTTCTTTGAGTTTAGGGTAGCATTTGAGGTACAGTCCTGGATTAGCAAATTCCTTACAACCCGACCATATGCAGACTAGGGAGCTCTGATGGCTTAGTGGGAAGGACCACCCAAAGCCTGGCGGTCCAACCTCCCAGCTGCCCTGCAGGAGAAAGATGGGCCATCTCCTCCTGTGTGATTTACAGCCTTTGAAAAACTCCCAGAGGACCAGCCAAGAGTTGGCAAGTGTAAACAGGCTAAGCCCAGGAGAAATAAACAGCCAATTGAAATTAAATGCACTCGGTGCTCCCATTGTACTTTTTCTCTCTTGTTTAGTAGCCTGCATCATGTCTAGGAGGGCAGGGATGCTGCTAACCTCATCTGCTGTCAACATGATGAAAGAGAAAACCATGTTCTCCCCACGGTTATGACCGTGCCCAAGCCCACACTGGGCTCTGGTGAACCAAAGTCGACCCCTTGCCATCAAGGTGCTTATGACTCATGGTGACCACATGTGTCAGAGGAGAGCTGTGCCGAGCAGGGCTTCCAATGGCTGACTCTGAAAGCAGATCGCCAGTTTCTTCTGAAGTGCCTGTGTTGGACTCCAATCTACAACTCTTCTGTTGGCCACAAGCTCATTAGCCCAAGGTCACCATTTCTAGCTCAAGGTGGGCTGAATAATTGTATCTTTGTATCACATTTAGAACAATGGCTGGACTTCAGAGAGCAACACTTAGAGAAACAGGACATATATACATTAAAATTTCCTCAACTGCTGCATTTTTACACAAAAAGTTTTCAGACTTTATCTTAGCTTCAAATAAGTACTCTGCAGGAGAGTGGGGGAGGAAGGCATATGAAAGGCACATTTCACACCTGAATGACTACAGAAGCGGATCACGCAGCCATCCAATGGGAGAGGTCTTCTGATGAACAGCAGCAGCAGCACAGGCTTAGAGGGAAAGCCACTATTGTAATTCAGTGCCTTTCCCTCTGCATGGAATATGCTGGCTTGGTTCCCAGCCTTCCCAGAACAATAGGATGCACCCCACTTCTGAGGAAGCAGGCAGCCTGGTTTTTCTCTTCTTGCACCTCATCTGAGAAATGAAGCAAAGAGGTGGAACCAGATGCAAAAAAGGCTAGAGACTTGGCACATGTCCGAGACACCTCCAATGTGTAGCCAGGGAATCTGGGTGCCAAACTGTAGACACCAAGCCCTAAGCAAATGAAGAGCAATGAGGAGAGAGGCTCTAGCCTTGTCATTTTAGGAATGCTGGGGCATGTGTGGATGGACATTAAAGAACTCTTCCCTTCTTTTCCCCTACTTTCTTTCTTCCCTTGAATGAGGTTAATCTTGTCTCTTTCTCTGGCCAGTGGGGGTTCTGACACTGGCCTTGAAGACTGCAGCATGGCAAATGAGCTTCAGACTGGTCCTCCTGACAAACAACATTCTCTCAATCAGTGGTCAAGGTCAACCCAGTCACAGTGAGAAAGCCACTGCAGCAATGGCAGAGGAAGGACTGAAGTCAGCAGCTCTGGGTCATTTTCTGGTGATGACTGTCTATGTAACATATGGCCTTTCTCTCTCAAAATAATACAGACTCATACACAAAGCTCTACCCCAACTTTGCGAAAGAGGGGCTGGATCCCAGGCTAAGAACCACTGGCTTACAAAAGACCTTATGATCTGTATCAGATGAGGGTCCTACCTGTGTACATATGCTTGATGTCCTCTGGTCAAGGCTGCAAGAAGGAGGTCTCCCTCACAGCCATCAGACAATCACAAGAGCAAATGACATCATCTCCTAAAATATTGTCACTCAAAGGTCTTTCGTTGGGGGTCACCCACCTTCCTCTCATTCCTATCACCTCCATATCCCCTTCCCAGGCTCAAAAGAACAAAATGCCAGTGCTCACCAATCAGATAAGGGAACCAACTTATCAGTCAGGAGAAAAAAGCAAGACAAAACAAGGGAAGCAAATAATTTTATTATTTAGTTTCCTTCTATCAGAAAAATTACTAAAAATATAAATATAAAATCTCTAGAAAATACTCAGAATATATCTGTAATCTTCTTCCTCCCCTCAACTGGGGCCAATTTCCTTGTTCTTCAATAATCAACGGATTGCATATCTGTCTTCATATCATCCACATACGTAAACCTTCAGACACATTATTCCCTGTGCAGGGACGATACTATCCTGCTCCCTGGTCCTAGAAGCTCACCTCGAGGTCTGTCAGGATAAAGCTACATGCTGAAGGGAGGGACAGGGTGAGGCTGGTGGAGGAATGGAGAGAAAGGACTGTGGTTCCAATTTATGAGAAAGTTGGTGGGTCCTTCAGCCTCCCTTGTTTCCCAGCCTTCCAAAGGCACTGCTCACAGAGACACTGGATGACAAGGGTGTGTCTGTCACGCTGCCAAAAGGAAGGTCAGACTGTTGAGATGGACACAGAAAAGTAGGTGAAGCTTTGGCCAGGACAGTTGACCCACCCTCGGGCCATGAGCAGGAAAGATTAGTAACGGTGCAGGCTCGGCTCTGGGCAGCACCTAGCCCTTAGCACCAGCTAGATCAGCAGCACCGAGGACCAGACTGTAGCCTCTGGGAGCCTCCCAGGCAGCAGCATCAGGCCCTGCATGGAGAACGACGGAGATGCAGAGAGGACAGGCTACAACGAGCAGAGTCCCAAGGCCTCTTATTGGGCATCAGACACTAAAGCACCTCTAGTCACCTGGCAATGGCCCTGGCACAAGCTGGCAGGATCCTTCTGCTTTTCCTGTGTCTTTACCAGAGGTTGGGTGCTGAGTGGAGACAAGGATACTGCAGTAGCCTAGACCTGTCCCTATGTCTGGTGCCTGCCTGCTAAGCTGCCCATCAAAGTTGCTAATGGATCTTTTGATGCAGGGAACTCAGCGCAGATGGACTTGCTCCTAGGATGTGAATTAGATGCCCTAACGCCCCTCTGACTGGCCATCATGAGGTTGGCCCTGGATGGGGTCGCCATGAGTCGGCAGACAATCCAAAGGCAGCCAGTAACAACAACAATCATGACTTCCACCTCTGCCTGTGTGAAACCCCAAACCATTCTGAGAAAACTCACAGGACCCAAAAATGCCAGTCTTGAGAACTTGTTGACCATTTAGGGGCTACGCATCACATCCTGTGCTGTTCTCAAAGGCTGATCCTGTAACACCCCTGCTCACTTCACCGGGGCCTGCCACTGCCGGGCATGGGCACAGACGCTCAGGGAGGGAGGGAAGGCTTTGGTAGAGCATGGAGTTATGCATTGCTGCTGGACAATGGAAGGTCACAGGCCTGCAGAGCAGGAACGCACGGAGAGCAGCCCACGCTACAGTGGAAGCCTGTGTCTCCCAGTTTTAGAGGAGTTAGTGTTGATATTCTGTATGACAGAGGTGGTGGGAGTGGAGGCCAGGGCTTGTTGATGAGATGAACTGCGAGGTGGTCTCCAAGACCTTGGGGGGAAGGTCAAGGAAAGAACAGGAAAAGGGGAGCCACAGGAAGAAGACTGCCAAATGACATGTCCCAACGAGGTGTGCTGTTCCAGACTTCTCTAAGGGAACCAGCCACCTTATTCGATAAAAGGGATGTCCTCTCCTTGCTGCAAAGGGCCCTAGGATCACATCATCCCCTTACATCCTGGCCACAGGAAGACAGCATGACAGGACTCCTGCTGAGAGACAGGAACACAAAAAGGGGTTAACCCAGGAGGGCAGCCACCAGCTAGGGCAGGTAATGCTGTCAGTCCCTCACAGGGGCCAGTATACCATCACGATCAGGGAAAGCCAGCCCACCAGCTCCTCCTGGGGGGCACAGAGCTGGGAGACTCAAAAGAGCAAAGCACCTCCAACTTCATTAAAAGCGGATTGCCCCAGCATTCTCATCACATTCGGATCTCCTCCAGACCTCACCCTGGCTCTCACGCTTGCTTTGCTCAACTTTTGGAATCGCTTCATTTCAGGCTATGGTGGGAAGGGGGCTGGAAAGCCACTCATCCCCAGTGGCTACTGTTCTTTCATTCTCTTTTCACTCTTTTCTCCACTCCTCCTGCTCGAGGTTCTATCAGGACTAGCACTCTGAATACCCAAACCACTCCCAGGTTTCGGGGCTCCTACCCAAAACCAGACCAGATCACGCTCCCCTGCTGCTGGGCCTGCCCAGCCCTGTCCTCACACAGCACATACCATGGGGGCCTGGTGTGTAGGAAACTGGAGCATAGCTGGCAGCTTTGCTTTGCTAAACTCCTCTCCCTGGTGGGCAGGGCCAGGGCCCCTCACTGGTGGGCTCCCTGCCCTGCCTCCAGGGAGGGCTCACTCTGTTCTACAGCTGATTAGAGGGGAACCACCTAGAGAATCCCAGGCAACAGGGCTGCCTCTGGGACTCAGGCCTGGGAAGCATCTTCTCTGGACCCCACCCACTGGGAGAAGCCAACTGGCCTCCAGCGGTTTATGCTGAATTTGGATCAGGAGAGCCTAGCTGAGCTAAGTCAGGGTTGGGGTGTGGCCTTCAGGGCAAGGCCCATCATCAAGCCTAACTCCTCATTCCACATCTCGCTCAATTCCTCCCAAGCAGAGTGCCAGCCTCTGGGCCACCAAGAAGGAACGAAGAGGAGGGAGTGACTGGGAAGGAACAGAGCAGGGAGTTGGCAGTATGTAGAAGACCAGCAAAAAAAATTCCTGCAAGAGCCAGCACTCTGAGCTAGCGGTTCTGCAACCCACAGGAAAACGGGGAAAGCAAGAAAAGCGATCCAAGGGCCATGACCAGCACCCAGCAAAGCTTACAGCAGGAGTGGTACCAGCTGTCAGGGCAGCACCCAATCCTTTTGCTTTTCTGCAGACTAGGGCGCTGGCTGGTAACCTCTCCTGCAATGGGAGAAGCAGCTGTCTGCGAGGAGCACATGGAGCCCTTAGCACTGTGGGGAAGGAAGCAGAGAAGAGGGAAGTGGTGTTGAGCAGGGAAGAGAAAGGGCTCTACTCAAAGGACAGCAGGTCTGGGTGAGGGCCTTCATTGTCAAGGCTAGAGGTCCGTGGCCGAGGCGGGAGGCTGCTGTCTTCTGGGGGCTCAGCCAGGCTGGCGGGGCTCAGGCTGGGTTTGAGACCATTTCTCTCTGCGAGGCCAGGGGAGGAGGCTCTTCTCCGCTCAGTCATCTTCAGCTTGGTTTCGCCCTGGCTGTCCTTGTGGATTAGGTCGGGTACCGACAGGGAAACCTCTCCATTGGGAAGGGCCTCGGCCCTCGGGGCCTTTTCGAAGGTGCCCTCTGGCTGGGCCTTGTCTGCTGGGCCGGGTTCACTTGGAGCAGGTGCGGCGGGAGGGGAGTCCTGGGGCTGCCCAGGCAGCAGCTCTGTCCCATACTCCAGATTACTCAGGACGGGCTGTGAGGAAATCAGCATGTCTTGGGTGGTCTTCAGGGCCCGAGGAGTTCGCTTCTTGGTTATGGGCGGCGGAGGGTCCAGTCTTGGGAAAGCTTCTTGCAGAGCTGACCTGTGAGGATGACAAGAACACATGCTTTCAGGACGAGGAGACGCCCATGCGCCCTGCACTCCAGCTTCTCCATCTCCACCTGCCACTGCCCCTCTGCGGCGATCTCATTCTCAGTTTAGTGTGTATGTCTCGGGCACTCAAGCATGGTTAATTAACTGGCTAAAAGCCTTTACATCGTCACTCTGTGTTCACAGGACACGGGATAAAAGCCACTCGTGAACGGTAGACATCAGACATGCTGGCATGCCTTCAGAGAAGGGAATTCTGCACAGTATGAGAGCCTCTGCAGGAAACCTTTTCCATGACCGTCCCACCTCAGAGGCACAGGTGTTTAAAACAAGGCCTAGAAAGGATTTGTGGGTTTGAGACTGAAGAATGGGAGGGCTATCTAGGAAGGTCTCCCGCAAATCTCTCCACTGGGTTCTAGCGGACACAGGTTCTCCAATACCAGCATGGCCAGGGCACCGGCCCTGAGTGTGCCTGTGTATCACCTTCGCCCTAGGGAGCTTCTGGGCAAACCTGGGCCTGAGCTAGACTCCCTGGAGATGTGACTCAACTGATCTGGCATCTGCATTTGTTATATTTCTCCAGGCGATTCTAGCGTGAAACCGTGAAGGACACAGAACTGCTGTGTAAGCTTGAAGATATGGCTGAAACCACAAACTGTGGACTAAAGACATTAATTCTGGTGTAGCCCAGCCCGAGAGACCACATCAGTCTTTAGAGCAACATGAAGGGGTGGCAGCCTCCAGGGTCAACAGCAAGAACCTCACTAGGTCCTGCATGTAGTGCACTCTTCACTGCCATCTGGCTCTACTGCTTATGTCTAGGAAGCCCCAGAGGGCAATGGCTCGAGGCTAGCAATGACTATCTTGTCATGTATGTTATGACTGAGCCATCATGAGTCCCCTTCTGGTTTATTTAAGTATCTGGAATATTTCTCTTGGAAAGCCACTTTATTGAGATGGAGTGCTACCAGGTTCATTCTGACTTGCTGCTGTTGTGTGCTGTGGTGTCAGAGCCAACGCAAAGCTGACCCTCCAGTGGGTTTTCAGAGACTACCCATCCATGCAGCAGCTAGTGGACTAGAACTGCATGCCTTTGGGATTGCAGTATAGCTTCTTACCACTAGGCCACGAGTGCTCTCTATTTTGATTCACTGTTACCCTAAAGAACAGGAAAAAACTGCCTGAGGGAGTTTCTCTCCTAGGCTGTCATCTCTACATGAACAGACTGGCACATCTTTCTCCAGTTTGGACTCAATCTGTGATCTTTTGGTAGTAGCTTAACCAGAGATCCTTCTGAAAACTTGAAGGTTGTAATCTGTAACATATATAGTTTAATGGGTCCTATGACATTGTGTCTGACAGTAGAATTCCTTAGCAACTACTGTTATTTTTCCTCTTTTAATCCTGGCTTAATCCATAGAGGTGATGTGGTGTCATGTTCTAGTTTGGTTTCCTGCAAAGAGATGAGAGTTAGAATCACCAGTCCCAGCATGTGGAAGAACTGGGGGGCGAATCTTCATCCGGAATCCTGATGTTTGCTGCAGGATCTTTGCCACACCAGTGTGGACCCTCACAAACAGGCCCCAGACCAGGACACTATTTCCTCCTCAGCGATCCCAGATTCTAGCAGCTCTAAATCTTAGGGAGAAGTTCTTATGCTGAGCTTAAAACTGGCCTTCTTCCAGATTCCTCTTTTGATTCAAGTTTACACCCGGGGCTAATCTTTCTTCCACAAATCAGTCGTGGGATAAAGAAATCAATTCTAAAAGAGAAGCCCAAGTTTGAACCCTGCTTTGCCAATTACTTACTTTGTGACCTCGGCCAACTCATTTCACCTCTGTGGACTTATCTGCAAAGTGGAAATAATACACACTCTCCCTCACAGAGATGTGGAGAAGATAACGGTAAATAAAGTAGCCGAAGTACGCAGCAGGAACAGCAAATGTCAGCTGTGTTTACGGAAGCCGACGCTAGCCCGCATCAACTCCACCCTTCCACCGCTCTTACAGTTCTCAACTCCATCAGATTTACTCCTCCCCAGAGGCCTTTAACAGAGGCACCTTGGCAAAGCCGCAAGGGCACTGGGGCTTATGGGCACTCACCGTTCATCCTCCAGCCAGGCCCCTGATGCCACGTCAACTCCACTGGCCAGCTCGGCGCCTACGGTCTTGTTGATCTCCATCACACCCACGCCGTCAAGGCCTGAGGGCTCTTTTCTCCGCAGGAAGTCGTTCACCTTGGCGCCCATGACTTTGCCCAGGTTCTTGAGGTGCTGGCTGCTGCCTACCCAGAGTCCTGGCCCACCAGGCTCCACAGACCCCAGGGTGGCAGAGCTGGAGGCCGCGGGCCTGGACAAGTGAGGAAAGGAGCGGCTCGACTGCAGCTTGGGAGTGAGGGCTGTGTTCAGGTTCTCGAACATGCTGTGATCAACTGCAGACAGAGGAAAAGAGAGAGGGTGAGTGGACGGTGAGGAGGACCGGTGACCGTATCTCACTGCTTCTGTTCTCCTTACACCACACCCCAAACTTTTAAATGCATATGGCTCTGGAAATATTCAAGAATGAGCCCGCAAGGCACTCTTGAACATTCCCAACCCGGCATTCTTAAAAGGAATAACAAAAGATGAGAAAATTCCAGTCTGCCCATCCAAGTTAACCCTACCCAGAGAAAAGCTAGCTTATCCCTTGAAACCTGCCTCTTTGACTCACAGATAGACTCTTCTACCTTGGAGTCATTTTGCAGGGCGGGGGAGAGGGGTCCCCTCTGACACAAAGGAAAAATGAGAATGAAACAATGAAATAATGGCATTTGACTCAGCAGTGAGCACAGGTCGAGCTGCACTCTGTGACTCAAACACTGGGACAGATGCTGCTCGAGGGATGTGAGAGGCTCGACACTGGAAGCTTCCTGCCAAAAATCCACCTGCAAAGCACATCCATTTTCTCCCTGTGAAATGGGCCAGCAAGGTGCTCATCTCCCCTGAGGTGGGACTGGGGAGAATGGGGCTAGCTGCTTGCAGAGGGACAGATGCAGTTTACTCCAAGTCCCTGGTGCCAGTGAAGCAGAAACGTTTTGACAAACAGCTCACTTCATCCTCATGACAACCTAGTGAGGTGGGTGCAGTCAATCGTCTAACTGTGTAATAGGAATCTGGGGCTCTGAAGAATTGACTGGCTTTTTTTAGAGGTCAGAACTAAAAACTGGTTAGACAAGGACTGGCACTCAGGTCTTCTAATTCCAAATCCAGGTTCTTACCACTACTGTGCTTTTTCTAAGCCATGGAACAGACGCTTAAACACGCCTGGTAGATGGTCCTTCTTCTCTTAAGGAGACTTCTTATTCGCTCAAAAATTTTAACTCAGAGAGCTGGTGAAGACACAATGGGTTGGAAATATTTCCAGTGCAGAGTCAGAATCTGAGACAAGGAGTATCTTGAGTTGAACTGCTGAACTCATTTTGCAGAGGGAAAACTGTGAAGGCTAAGAAGGAAGCTCCAAGGTTTGTGGTTGGAATGGCTGGAGCCTAGGTACCGGGTTCTGTTCTAGCCACACAGCCCCACACTTAGGCAGAGCTCTCCTTTCTTCAACTGGAGAGCCAATTTAGTGCTCAGGTAGATAAGAGCCACCCCACTGCTTTAGAAGCAGCCCTGGTGTGTCTGTCCTTTCTCACTGCCCTGAATGCTGTGTGAATCTTAGAGGAGGTTCCATTTTGTTCTAGGCTCTTCTTTGTGCCTGCTCTCTCTAAGTCTTCCTAAAAGTCAGAGCATACTTTCAATTCTGTCAAAGCCTCTTACATAAAGCTGTTTGTTCCCTCTGCTCTATGCTAGTGATTATGGGAGCCAAAAGTAGCATTTCTCTTAAATGTGCTAATCAACAGAAATAGTAAATATGGGCAAGCAAGCTATATGGATGGCCAAATTCTAAGGTGGGAAGAAGGGTGGAGAATTCCCTCTGAATGAGTGCATGGTCTTGTTTTCTCAAAGTGTCCCAAACACATGAGCACACACACCACTACGGAGGAGACGAGTCAGGGAGCATGAATGAGAGCCTCCTTGGGATCCCCGGAGAAGGGCTGACTGACTGAGTCTGTCCTAGGCTTGAAGACATCAATGGACCGTGTGAGCAGCTCTCAGCCAGGCTCACAACAGGGCCATCAACTCCTAGATACTTAACAGTGTTCCCCACTTCATCCTTTATAATATACCTAACACAACCTGCATTCTTCTCATTGTTCTTTATCATGAAACCTTCAGACTAGCAGAGGTGGCCTTGGAAATAAAACTATTGTCCCTAACTCAAAACCTAGCTGGGTCCAAGGAATCAGGGGAAGACAAATACCCCATCATTTCCTGGTTCAGATATTTAAGCTGCAACCTCCTTTCTGCTTTAAAGTGAATGTTTAAACTTGGTCTAAGTATGAAGTCTTTCTGACAGTAATTTATGGCTTGTGGGTTCTCCCTTCTGCCCATACTGTTCATTAGAGTACCATGGGAGGGGAGGTGGAGTCTTAAGTGCTTTTCATCTCCTAAAATGTCTAAAAAAGGGTGGTGTAAGCATTTGTTGAGTTAGTTTAATTGTATTGATTTTTACATGAAAGCTTAAGGATTGACTGGGTGATGAAATGATGTCTTAGGGAAGCTGTTCCCAACACCCACTATATGAGTGGTCACCAGGGGGTGTTGAGTTTAAGCCAGGAGAAACTACCTTTCTTCTGCCCATGTGGGACTCTAGCTGGGGCTTCCTTCACCCCCACAGTCCAGGAACTCACAATAAGCCCAATTCCTGTTCATGGACCTAAAGACCCCCAAATCTGTCCCTCCCTCTATCCCCCATTTCCTCAGGACTAGAGAGAGGCTCAGTGGCTCTGAAAATAATGGTGATGGAGGAAAGATGACTGGACCAACGCTGAGTGGCCCTCCCCCCAACATGCACGTGTCCAAGTAGAGGGGTGCACCTGGACAGAGGTCATCCACAAGAAAGAGGGTATCTTACCTGACTGAGAAAGGGGCTCGGAAAGCAGGTGGAAAACAAACGAGAGAGAGAGAAATATTTTATGCAGTGACCAATCACCTCCCGCCTGGGCCACGGCAGCGACATACTGAGAAGTTTTGTACCTCTTGTTATGAGGAGTCTAACTATCCCTGGGAACACCAGGGTCCTGCAAACTTATCAACAGCTAAACCAAAACACAATCATGTTTACAAAACTTTATAAACAGGTACTTAAGGCATCAGCCTCCCATATTTTCCCCAGTAACTTATAAACCTTCTTTACATTAAATATACACAAAGCTCCTTGTTGTCAGTGTGAGAATGATGGGTCAAAGCAGATAAAATTCTGAGTCCTCTAGAGCCGCTGGGCCCAACTCCTGACTATGTTGTCTAGTTTCCACATGTAGATCACCTGGCTTTAGATATGGGAGAGGTCCTTCCACTTCAAACTCTCTCAATCAACAAAATGAGACAACTTCATGGCAGAGAGGCTTACCCATCATCCCACGAGGAGCTAACAGTACAGGGGCATCAGAACTCGCATCCACTGATGTCCACACCCACTATCTACACCAACCTGCCCCCAAAGACAAGGCCAGGCCCCTGATATTGCCAAAGCGTGAGGCTTCATTTAAATCCCAACGTGCTCTAATGTTCCAAACCAGGACTGAATTGTGTTTCACTCTAAAACATGTGCTGTGAATCGGCTCCAGGCAGAGCACGGTTTGGAGCTGTTGTATGCAGGTTGCTTGATTTGCAGGTGACTGGACGGCACATAACAACAACAAATCCTAGAACCTCTACACATGTGGTTAAAATGATTTTTGGGACTGTGTTTTCTTTTGTTATGTTAACGAGACAATATAAGTGCATGATGAGTCATAAATCAATCTCTTTTGAGATAGAAAAGATATGAAATGGTGGAGCAAACAGAGATGGGGACAGGGAGATGCCAAGCCATGTGAAGATCATTCAGGAGCAGAATCTCCGAAGAGAAGAGGATTTTCCTCCAAAGACAACACAGAGGGAGAGATGGCGCCTTCAGTTTGCACTTCTAGCTTCTTAACTGTGAGAAAATAAACTTCTAGGTATTAAACTCAACTACTTGTATTTCTGTTATGGTAGCACTTGGTAACGAAGACCCTGGGTGGTACAAGGTAGAAACACAAACCATCTTCACCACATTGTCTTTCAAATGCTTCCATCCTAGGAAATATAAACAACCAGGGGTCTGTGTGCAGAAGCAAGGACATCCGCTACTCTCACACATAGTTCACACTCCTGTAAAAGGAGCCCGCTGACACTTTGGTGGTGGATTTGTTATGGGCCACCCAATCAGAACTCATAGCTGAACCACCAGTGGGTTTTTAGAAGTTATAATTTGTCCATTTTTTCTTCCACACATCAGCTGGAGAATTTTAACAATGTGCCTTTGCGTTGGCAGCACAATTCCTTACCCACTAAGCTACCAGAGCTCCAACTTCAATAGATTGTATCCTTCCCATAGAGCATAGATGGAGGCCACTATCAGGTGATCTAGAACAGAGTGCTCTGAACTTATCTTCAAGGTGCCACAATCACCTTCCACCCACCCTCCACATCCTGCTAGTGTGCTAGCCTGTTATGTTCAAAATGAAGCAAAATATAATTTCTTCTTGTCTCTAGTCTAACCCGCAAACTGACCATAACCTGTTGTTGTTATGTGCCGTTGAGTCACTTGCGACTCATAGCGATCCTATGTACAACAGCCCTAAAACCTGCTCTATCCTGTGCCAATGTTACTGTCTCTGACACACCTACTCCCACTATCCTAGTCACTGAATCAATCCATCTCATCCAAGGTCTTCCTCTCAGTCACTGTCCCTCCACCTTCCTAAGCATGACATCCATAACTTACATTATGCAAAATGTAAAGAGTAAGCTTCTCATTTTTAGCCACTTTCTCATAATAGACAACACTAAACATTTAAAATAATATCCGATAGTTTCAGGAAATACATTTGAGTATTTATGCATACAAGGTGGTCATGTTATTTCTAACTCACTTTGAAATAGTTCAGAAAAAACCCCCAATTATGGATACACACACACACACACACACACACACACACACACACACACACGGAGAAAGAACTGACAAAACAGATGAGTGTTAACAACAGGCAAATACAGATATATAGTATATAGATGTTCCTTGAACTTATTTTTAATTTTTTTGTGTTCGAAATTAATTTTAAAAACTCCCATAAAAATATCCCAAAGCGAAACAAAAAATCTAAAATGAAATCAAACAAGAAGACATATTTGGTGGTAGGGTTTGGCAGAGGAGAGAGAGGGTGCGAGAATTATTGTGAAATAGGGATAGAGTTGGGGTAGGGGGTGTCATGGACCCCTGCAGAAAGGGAAACGGGGGGACAAGCAGAAAACATTACTGAACTAACTCACTATAGTCTTCCTCCTCCCTGAGTTCTCTCAATCACAACAAGTCACTGAGGAATGACAAATGAGAAAAAAAGAAATTAAAAAAAAAATATGTAGGCTGTCTTGTTATCTTTTAAAAGGGAGACCTAGCTGGCAAGTAGAATCCTGTGATGTTCTTATGATGTCAAGTGAGGTCAGAATGTTCATCGTCTGGACAACCCCGGCGGCCCATCTGGGAGCAGATGTGCACACCTCACACCCTATGGTAGTCAGAACATGGAGAACTTCTCACTCCTCAGCATTTCTAGTCCAAGAATGTCTTCCTCTGTCAGGAGCAGTTTTCCAGACATTATAGCTTCCTGTGCCACCAGCTTACCAGGTAAACTCTGACGCCACTAGGGCCATTTGTGACAGAACCAGGAATGAATTAGAAAGCCAAATTATATTGGATAGACAATAGCTTTTCAAAATATTGCATTTGTTATAAGCAGAACTGCTGTCTATTAATTTCTGGCAAGGAAAGAATGGGAGAAATGTTTGCTGTTCAGGTTTCCACCCCCTGGAATTGACATAAGGCCACAAACCTGTGTGCTAGTTTCAGCTGTTTTGGCAAACAGGAGACCCAGACTTACCAAACTGCGAATAGATAACTAATGTAAGAGGTGTCGTTACCAAGTAGCATGGCATGGGGGCTTTCAAGACTTGCTATACTCCCAGTACAGTCTGTGGACCTGTAACTTCAGGACTGCTCAGGAACTTGCTGGAAATGCAAAGTCTCAGACCCACTGAATTGGAATCAGCACTTTGGACAAGATTCCTCGGTGATCCTTAGGAATTGAGCACTGCTATCTGCCTAGACAAGCGACAGTTCTTAATGTTACAAGTGGAACGCAGGGATTGAAGGCAGGCCCTCTTTTATCAAGTGTTAGCAACCACTCCAGGTGGGGTAGGCAGCTAAGGTGCTCTTGAACCCTTTCTGGCTGTGGATGGAAGATGCTTCAACATCCTCAAAGGGATCATGCAATGCAAGCAGCCAATAAACAGAGCACCTTCACCAAACCCTGGGTTCCAGATCACCCTGAGAAAATAAAGTCCCATATGTGGTGGGCTGCAGGGGGCTCAGGTGAGGGGCAGGTCAGGCAGAAGGTGTCATTGTGACCATGTTTTAAAACCTTCCTTGTAAAGGATTGTTCCCAGCCCTTACTGGGCATTCCCCAGGATGTGTTTCTGGGTGCAAGAGAGGTCCTGTTTCCCTTTGTCTTTGAGATGTTTTGAAGTGCTGAAGTTGAGCTACTCGGTGTGCCCTGGGAATTCTGAGGCCTCTCAACCTCACTCAGCTCACCAGTTATTTTTTTTCTCTAAACATAGACATTGCAAAGACGGTGGCGCTTGCTGAATCCCCCAGTCCAGCACAAGCCCTGCCATCCCAGTACCAAAGCAGCATTCTCCGGCAAGGGGGGCTTAACATGGTGCTCTCACCAGGTGAGGCCTGGGCTCTGGGGCAGACACAGGTGACTAGCTGGGATGGGCAGGGCTGCTTCCCTCAAGAAGGGTGCTCACACGCTCACTACGTCTGCACCTGGATGGCTCCTGGATGGCCCAATCAGGTTTCCTGGAGTCCTGCCTCTCCCATTAAGCCTTGGTCTCTCAAGCTGGTATAGAGAAGCAGCTCCTGCCTGAGGGGGCTGTTGAGGGAAGATGGGTGAGGTGGCAGGAAGCACTGGACACGGGAGTAAAGAGGGACCATCCAGCTGTCCTGAGTCACCATGCCTACCGTTATGGAAGGCAGAGGGCAAGGTGTCTTCAGGAGCGACCAAAGCAGTAGCTATGGAGTCAGCTGTAAATATGACAGCCCCATCTGTGGCAGAGTAGAGCTGTGCCCCATACGGTTTTCAATGGCTAATTTTTCTGAAATAGATCTGTCTTCCAACGTATCTCAGAGAGGACTTGAACCTCCAACCTTGTAGTTCACAGTCATATGTTAATGGTTTGCACTTCCCAGGGAGGGAAAAACATGACAAACAGCAGGGCTTAGAGATTTAAATAGGACTCTATTGCCCAAGCATGGAGCTGCCATTGTGGGCAGCAGAGGAAGGAAAGTAAGAACCAAAGACTTAACACTGCTCTTCCTGCCCCATCTTTCACCTGCTCCCAACCCAAGTGGGGCCCAGGGAGCCAGTGATAGCCTTCACACCTTTCAGCACCTTCTCACAGTTGGTCTCCAGCCACCCTTGCTGTGTTTCCTGCCCAAACCTCAGCCTCAGCCCTTCCTTTGCAGACGGCACCACAAGGGACATCCAGAACGGGGAGCAGCTGAGGCGGAACTGCACCATCTACCGGCCCTGGTTCTCCCCTTACAGCTACTTCGTGTGCACAGACAAGGAGAACCACCTGGAGACCTACAGCTTCCCAGAGGTGCAGCAGGACGAGGGCAGAGGGGACAGCTACCTGCCCGAGGACACAGCTGAGAGTGTCTGCTCATCGTCGTCTTCTCCAGAGAACACCTACTCCCAAGAGACCCCCAGGAAATCCAGGCACGGCCTGGACTCCTTGGACCACATCACCTCCCAGGACATCCTGACAGCCTCCAGATGGCACCCGGCCCAGCAGAACGGCTACAAGTGCGCGGCCTGCTGCCGCATGTACCCCACCTTACACTCCCTTAAGTGCCACATCAGGGCAGGCTTCAAGGAGGGCTTCAGCTGCAAGGTCTACTACCGGAAGCTCAAAGCCCTCTGGGGCAAGGAGCAGAAGGCCAGGCCCGGGGACAGGCTTTCTTCAAGCAGCTGCCAACCCTTCAAGTAGCCCTGCTGGGCGGTGGCAGCTATTGTGTTAGCAGACATCTCAGGTGACTAGGGGATGAAGCCCGTTTATGTCTTGAGAAAGAGACCAATAAATCAAAGTTACTTGTAATTTTCTGTCAACGATCAGGTCTGAAGTCGCTCTGCACCACCTACTCTCCTTCCTAATGCTCTGCTACCGATGTCAGGCCCACCTCCCTGGCTTGTCCTTTTTATTAAAGGACAGGATCTGAAGAACTTCTCAGAGTGAGACTCCTGGGCCAGCAGCAGCAGCACGGCCTGGGAAGGTGTCAGAAATGAAATTCTCAGGGCCCATCCCAGGTCAACTGAATCGGAAACTTTAGGGGCGGAGCCAACAACCTGCAGGGCAAGCAGCCCTTCAGACTGGCTGCCACTGGCCTGAAAAGGAACCCTTGCTCGAGGGTCCTGGCCTGGCTGATCTCTAGACACCCAGTCCTGTTGCACACTCGGTGTGGACTCCTTTCTCCTGAGGAAGCCTCACTGGCAGAGTCTGCCCAGTTCAAAAGGCTTTCTAGGTACAACAGGTAGGACAATACGTCCTGATGCATTAGTGGCAAATACAACTGCTCCTCTCTACCATATACACATGTATGGGCCAAGTGGCACCCGTGTATGTGGTGGGGATAAACAGTTTTATTTTCCTCTTATGTGTAAGGGAATCTTCTTGCTGAAGTAGAGCAAAAAAATATTTTTTTAAAAATTTAGTTGACTTCTTTACATGGCTACTTCCAGTCATATGGAAATGAGCTAGTTACTGTGAAAACACAGTGTCTTTTTACCAAGTAATGTGCTCACTGACTTCACTGCCAGCCTAACCAGGAAGGTGGGAAGCATCCGGGAGGCACGGGAGCATGTTTTGCTCAATTTGTGCCTAAACAAAGAAGGGTGAAGTGCTTGGTGGTCTTTTAGGGTCCCACTGACCTCGGACCTCACCTCCCATGACTCGGTGGGCCCTTGACCACAGCAAGGTTTTATTCCTTTCAGGAATCCTGAACACCAACCGTTTCTGTACTTCCTGCCTTCCCAAAGGGTTGATCCATGGGTCAAGAGTCCTCCCTGTCCCATATTATATATTGCTTGTCCTGAGGTCTCACACTAAGGTTTAGCAGAACTTCTTCAGCTTAAAATTATATGGCTAAGCTATCACCTTTCATTCCCCAGAGTGCGGGCTGGCTGGGCTCCACTCCCATGCCATCTCACACTGTGGGAAGGGGCAGTAGCCCTCCCCCTGCTCTGTCCCCTACCCAACTTGCTCCCCACCCTCAACTCACTAAAGAGAATGGACAATGACTAGAGTTAAAACCAGCTAGTGGTCATTACACCCACGGGGCAAGGCTGGTGGTCTCTAGGCTGTCCTGATGGCCCTACCGGAGGCCGCTCCCCTGGAGGGTAGACATGACTTTGGCTAAGTCTTTTTAGTCATACACTGGGCTGTTTATCTCATTCAGGCAGTGCTACCCAATCCATACACTCTCAAGCCTTACAGACAGGGGTGGGTGCTCTCCTTGAAGTGTCCCTTCACGGGGATCATGCTGGGGTCCACAGAGGGGACACGGTGAGGATGGGGGATGAAGTCACTCATGGTCCCACCGCGATCTGAGGACCTAGTCTGACATCCTCTCCCAATCCTACTCCCTCCTGGACCACAGCCGAGCACTATGGTGTGAGGTGCCATCCAATCGGCTGATTTGTAATGATTCCAAGTACAACAGAACAGAACCCTGTCCGATCCTGGGCCACCCCCATAATCTCTGCTGTGTTTAAGCCCGCCGTCGCATTCATAGTCTCAATCCATCTTGCTGAGGCAACACAATTATACAGGGAAATAGAAAGTAGTGGACTGAGTCCCAGTACCAGAGCTGCTCAACGCATTGGTGCTTTTTCCCTAGAGCAGGTTTTTCTACATTTCATACCGACTATATCAAGTCACTAATAGCTCAGAAACTATTTCAATACAGAGTTCTGATGAACGCTTCAGCTCAACAGAAAACGTACCTGAAGAAGACAATATACACCAACAACAGGCTCAGCTAACTCTCCTCTATTAGCCCCAGATAAGATGCAGTGCACTAGAGGTTGTCACCAAGTGCTCTCTGCTTGGTGCTTTTAAAATGTAACCTCACTTGCTCTTCTTAAAAGCTTTCTGTTAATCCCATTCTACAGATGTGAAAACTAAGGCTCAGCTCTGTCTAGGCAGCCAGAAAAGGTGTGGAGGGCATGAGAACTTGTCTTATCTGATTTTCTCAACCACTCCTTTGACCAGGGTTTGGAAAAGTACCAGGCTTAACAAACTCTGCCTTTATGAACAACCAGAAGTTCCTGCCAAAGTAATCTGAAATGTTCCTGCCAAAGTTTCCACAATGGAGGTCTTTTAGGTCCTGGAGCTCCTTATTTCGCTAGCACTCTCTCCTCTATCAGCATTCTGCCTCTTCTTCTGAGTAGTGCTACAACTATATACTCCTTTGCAGGTACCTGAGGAGAGGCTGCTATGTCCCCAGGATGAGCATTTCCAGAACTGGCCTGCTCAGACTCCTACCAACTGTCTATCACACACACTTGCCTCAGGGAATCAGTGAAGATCTGTAATTGTGATGATCTTAATTATTTCATCATCTCATTGCTGTCAAATCAGAATCGACTCATAGCTGACCCTCTCCTGGGTTAGTCTAAATTGCCAGTGAGCTGTGGTAGCTGTGCTGCTAATCCAAAAGCCCATGGTTGGAATCCACCTTAGGAGAAGGCTGGACAGCGATGAGTCACTTCCAACTGCATGGTATCAAACAACACAGCTCATCTTCTCCCCTGCAGCTGCTGCTGGGTCTGGCGCTTGAGAGAGGCAAGGCCTATCCTGTACTTGAAATTATAATCTGTTGTTACATTAGTAAGCATTCAAAATTTGCTGTGATCGCCCATAAGATTCGAGTTATATTTGAAGTTTAAAAAAGCCTAGAATTGGATGAGTCTGTGAAAACGGGTCTCTTAGCAGCACTGTTGACATCTCGAGCCCGACACTTCTTTGGGAGGTGGATTATCCTGTACATTGCAGGATGCTTAGCAGAATCCTTGGTTTCCACCCACTAGATGCCAGTAGCACAGCTCCCAAGATGTGACAATGAAAATTATCTTTAGATATTGCCAAATTTCCCCTGGGGAGTAAAACTGCCTCCAACTACGGACCACTAGTAGAGGGGCCAGTCCTGTAATCTGAGGGGTACCATATCAATCCCAGCTGAGGGCACTTCCTTCCTTCTCTCCTTTAGGGAACACGAGTTTTATCTAAGCCTCACCCTCCCAGAGACCATTTGTCACTGAGTTGAGGCCACCTGGTTTGGAAAGTCAAGTGGAAGTGAGGGAGGAGAAAGAGAGCACGTAGAAAAGTAGAACAGGAAACAAGAAAAGACAATGGAAAGGCTTTTAGAAATAAGAAGGTTTATTTAGCAAAAGCCACTAGACTAGTGACAACATCCAAGGAGTAAGTGCACTTACATTAACAGAATCTTTTCCCAGAGAATTGATTCAGCAGAGTTAATGACACAACAGTTTTAGGAAAAAAGAGGGGCTGTAGGGTAGGAGAAAGCAGTTAAGCAAAGAGCAAATAAAAGGAAATACAACTCCAGACAAGGTCAGCAGAGAGAAGTGAGGCTGTGGGAGGCTTCACAGATGGCACTGATATAAGCAGGAAAAGAGGGAATACAGTTTTCAATCCCAGTGAGCAGTCCATCTTGGGCAGGGAAGTTCTTTCCTGGCTCTGCAATGAGAGTCTCATGTGCCCAAGTTTGTGGCACCTCGGAAGGCCGTTGTCACCAGGAAGGTAAGGGCCCTTGGTGTCCACTTATCCTCCACATAGGGCAGAGTATAAGGATGAAAAGGGGGAAGGCAGGAGTTGAATTAGCAGAGCAAGAAGCAGGAGAGGAGGAGGACAGGGTGACGTGGCTTGGAAATCAGATCCGCAATCCCCTTCCTGTCCAGTCAGCCCTGAAGGAGGGTCAACGTCTTGTGACCCACCCATTGCCCCTAGCTCAGCATCTGTCTTTTGTTTTCCACTGAGTGTGTGCTGACATGGGCCACACTGGGGACAATATCTATACATAAACCAGTGCTCCAAGGAGGGACTAAATAGGAGATAAGATGGCAGGACAAACCACCCTGGAGCACCCAAAGTGCTAGTCTTGAATGGGCCTCACGTCAGCACTGCAGATAACCAGTCTCTCTCTGATTCTCTCTTCCATTTCCCTTCTTCTTGCCCTTCTCCCTGCTCATGACCATGTTAGAGACGATCCCCCCATCCAACACAAGAACTTCTGCCCGATTCCACCACAAGGCTCACTCCACAACCTAGTCCACTGACCTCTGGCTTTCTCCTTGAATCCTACTTGCAGGCCATGGGCCTCCAGAAACCAGACCTCACTTCCCTAGACAGTGGATATTCTCATGAATCTAAGAGGTTTCAGACTCAAGGAACACCCTGGGGTAGGATCATATAAACTAGGTCTTCTCAGTCAAACAGGATTCTGGACTTTGGCTGCTTTAGGTGTACACATCTCACTTTCCTAGTTTTTCCTTCTCTCCTTTATCTGGGCTTATTTCCAATGGCTTACTAGTAAATAAAACAGAACAACCCGTTCCAATAGAATGTATGTTGGGAAAGACGAGAAATCTATCATTGTGTCAAACATCCTGGGGATTACCTGTCTCAGGTAACTTCTCAGAAACTTGCATACAAGTTCTCTCTCTCTTTCTCTCTCTCTCTCTCACACACACACACACACACACACTTTCTCTCTCTCCTATGTTCCTAGGCCCACTGATATCCTAGTGTACTAATTCCAAGGAAGGCTAATGTAAACCTATATTTATTTCATTTGAACTCTCCAGTCTAGAAGATATGTAATTGTGGTCTAAGAACTGCTCTTTCATGTATATCAGTTATAAAGCAAAGCGAGGGCTGAAGCATTCCTTTTTGGAACAACCAAATCTTTACTAATCTACTCTCAAATAACACTGCAGTCAGTTCTACATCTGCTTGTCCAGAACAAAGACTTACTTCCCTGAACACACTATCCCAGCATGCCTTGGCTCACTCATCCGGCATGTTTACAGCTGTGGCCAGTCACTTACAGCCCTCCTAGAGCAAAAGGTGCTGCCCTGGTTGCCCTTGGTAGCTTGTTGCACTGAGTGGTGATCTCTAGGCCAGGTCTGGATCTTAAAAGGACAGAAGAATTACACATGGCACTTGTTACAGGTGTGTTCAAGGCATGCACCCATAGGGATGGGTCAAGGGTGACATGGCTGTGATCCTTGACCTAAGTGGCAGTGTTTCTGAAGACTGGACAAAAGAGTCTCAGCTACCAGCCCATGTTTTTTTCTGCGGGGAAAAACTGACCACCACTGCCCGATGGAGGGAACAGGTTAAGAGGTAAGGCTGGGCTCCTCGTAAGGCTAGGGCTCTGAGACATCCAGAGAGGCAAGAGTGAAATAGCTTCAGTGGCACAGCCCCCAAAGGGTGGGGACATGGGGGGCGGTGTAAAGGGACAGACTCCCAGTCTCCACTTAGACGAGCTGGGCTTTCAGGCAGGAGGTGGACAGGGCTTCCACACGGAAAAATCAGATCCAAGGGGTTTTGTAGCAGCAAAGAGGCTGTCTTCCCCATAGGGTTCCCATAGGGTTCCACAACAAGGACCTGTGTGATCTTACGACCTTCAGCATCCTTCCAAAGCAATACCTGACATCTAACTAAAAACGTTTGGATCCAATTCATCTACACGCTAATCCTGTGTGACACACATACCAATCGCATGCTCACACAAACCCAAATATCCTGTTTTCCATAGCCCAGAACATTCAGCATTGACATCCTCAGCAAGGGTCTCAAGAAGGAATTCCTCCCCCTAGAGGTCAAGGGGAGGGTTAGGCAACTTGTAGCATCCTGATATCCAAAAACAAAGTACCTGAGACGGTACCAATGGCTTCCCTTCACTGTCGGGACTACGGATTTGGGAGGCGCAAAGGGGTTGTTGGGGCATCGACAGAGCAGAGTGGTCTGATGATGCAGCGGGGGGCAGGTCCGCGTGGCCCTGATGAGGACCCTTCTCTCGAAGTCACAATCTCTGCAAGGCCCTGCCTCTCCTTCAGTTACAAACAGAAGAGAGGAGCTGATTCCCCCCTGGGAATCCAACTTCTTCTCCACTTCACCCTCCAAAGCAACAATCCTTGTCCTTTCCGGGAACCTCACGCTCTCTCTGGCCCCTGTAGCCTCATCAGTGCACGTGAGCCAGGCATCCCCCAACCCAGGCAGCAGCACCGCCCTGGGCCCCTCGTCACCACCGCAGCCTCCGCCTCCTCCAGCTCCTCGTGGCCGCAGCACCTACACGGCGATCTCATCATCCAGGCTATCGCCCAGTTCCTGCCTCTGCAGGACATTGAGCAGGCGCGGCAGCTCCTCCTGCGACCACGAGTCGCGCTCCTCGCTCTCGTCCGTGTTGGACTCGTACTCCGAGGCGATACCCGACTCCCGGAACTTGATGAGCTCCAGGCCGCCCAGGAGGGGCTCGCCCTGCGCCGGGGGCGCGGCTTCCTCGGCCGGGAGGAAGCGGAAACACTCCAGCTTCACCAAGCAGTCGCGCCTACCTAAGGGGCTGCCATCCGGGTGGGCAAAGTCCGCCAAGCCCGCGCCCCGCGGCGGCGAGTGCAGGTCCTCTGGCTTTGGGGTGGTGGGGTCACAGAGTACAGGCAGGGCACTGGAGCGGAACGTGATTTCCAGCAAGCTGTCCTGAGAGCCCACTGGAAGCAGAGACAAGAAGGTGGAGCAGTGTTGTTAGCAAGGAGGTTAGCTTGACAGGACTTGCCGATTACTGGTATCCTTTCCTGACCAGCTTAAGGGCTCCCCATAGGTGCTTTGTAGCTCCTAACACTTTGCCTGGTTCCACCAGCATGGTAAAGGGGTAGAAAAGGGGTGTATCTCATGCTGCCCATCATTCAGACTTTGCTTCTGGGTTCTGTTATTTTTCATGCTCATCAATCTGTTTTTGCGCCCCAGCGTGTGCTTTTGAGTTTTTTTGTTTTTTTTTTTTTCTTTTTTGTCTCCGCGCCCCCGGGGGTGTTGTATATCTTTTTTGTTCTGTTAGCAGAGGAGGCAAGTGAGCACTGATTTGGGTATATTGTAGTTACATAAAGGCAAGTTGGAATCAACTCATAGCTGACACTCCAGCAGGTTTTCAGAGGCTATAAATCTCACAGGAGATTGCCCATCCGTGGAACAGGTGGTGGATTCAAACCACGTACCTTTGGGTTGACAGCACAACTGCTTACCATTAGGCCACCAGAGCCTCCTGATTTGGGTATCTTGTTCTTGTGTGCCTTTAAGTCAGAACCAACTCACACCTGACCCTCCAGAGGATTTTCAGGGGCACTAAATCTCTCTGGAGGAAAGAGCCCATCTTTCTCCTGCAGAGCAGCTGACTGATTAGAACAGCACGTCTTTGCGTTGGCAGCACAGCTCTTTAACACTTGGCCACCAGAGCTTTTGAGCATAGGAGCTACAATTTTGAATGTATTTTTTACTGATATTCAACCCCCCTTTCTGCTTATGAGCTGAGTATTACAACCCAAAATGGTAACTTCTCTTTTATGCTCTTTTCAGAACTGTATGTATGAGAACAAACTGACAACAGCACCTTGAAAGATTAGGTTAGGACCTTAGCGGGCAGTGAGTTTAGGTTAATGAGGGAGGCACAGCTCAGAAGAAGTTGAGAATGATTTCACAACTTGAATGCAGTCAATGCCACTCAAGGGCTCAAGTAGAAAGTGCTGTGTTAGTGTGTGTTTTGCTGTGTACATTCTCAATGACAATAAAATACAGAAAAATTAAAAAAATTAATCTTGTCAGGCTCAGAAGATACACTTCCATTTTCCATTCACAGTATATACATGGACTGTGGAGATTAAAATAATTAGATGTTGTTGAATGTACTGTGGAGATGAAAAAGAAATAGATATGATCCAATTGCCAACAGTATCTCTAAAGCTTAGTAAAGACATTAGGGGGTGGTGAGTCTAAGGAATGATAGTGAGGTAACTTGTCAAGAGACAGTGAGAATGGTGACACAGTGTGAAGAATGTAACTAATGTCACTGAATGTACACATAAAAATTGTTGAATAAGCATATGTCTGGCTGTGTACATTTTCACTTGCAAAACAAGTACTGAGTCTACCTTCAGAAGCCTAAAAATGCAGTAGATTGGTTTTAGCATAAGGATTGGTTGCTATTTACTGAAACAGGTCTCAAATACATGGTCTTGGAAGTGATATGCTGTAGTAAATTAATTTGGCCAAGTTTAAGATTCTTTCTATTATGCCACTGCTGCTGCTTCATTATGCATTTGGTCTGGAAAGGATATGAATCTCAGTGAGGGGTGGAAAGGATGGGGATTGATCTATCTTGAAAAATAGGCAAGAGACCTGGGAATCCAACTGATAATCATCCCCCTAACTTCTTGTTAGCATTTTAATACTAGCAGCTTTACCAGTTATCATTCATTATAGAGTTGATTCTGACTCACAGTGACCCCACGCATTTCAGAGTAGAAATGGCCCACAGAATTTTCAAGGACGTGACCATTCAGAAGTAGATTTCAGGTTCTTCTTTTAAATGACTTTTGGTTAGGTTTGAATTACCTACCTTTCAGTTACTAGGCAAGTATTTTATAATTTACACCACTCAGGGATTCATATGAGTAGCTTGTTGGGGTGGTGGTAGTGTGCAGTGTCAACTCTTATTCATACAGATCCTGTATGACAGTAGAAATACCCCAGAGGGCTTCCTAGTGACACCTGGATGATACGTGGAAGCAACTCCCCAAAGCTATTATTGTACAAGTCTTTTACTGGATTATAAGGCAGCCCAGATTCCCTCAGGTCCTGAAATTCTAATTCCACACAGTGTGTGGACAAGCAAACAGAGCTGCCTTTGTTTTCTGTTGGGTTACTACTGGGCAGCCAGTGGTCCAATAAAGCACCAGAAACATAGTTAGGAACATATGGTTCCCAGAACCCTCCTGGGGGAGTCAGCGCTGGGCAGGGTGGTGCTTACTGGCGTTCTGTCCCGAAAGCTTCAGCTCCAGCTCCTGCACCTGCTTCACCAGCAGTGAGATGTGCTGGAGCATGTCCTTATTCTGCAGCAGGAGCTGGTGCACACGAGCCTGGGCCTCCAGCCTGGCAGCAGCCTCTGCAGCCAACTGATCCTTCAGCAAGTGAACCTGGGGAGAGAAGGAAGCACAGGGAAGAGGGTTGGACAGAGAGGAGAGAGGAAAGCGCATGTAAGTGAGAGTGGCTGGTTCATGCTCGAGGCCAGAAATCCCCACTGTGTTCAACACAAGAGGAGGAAGCCCTTCAGAGGGTGCATCTGGGGCTTATCATTCAGGAGGAGGCACCAAAAGACACCACCAACAAAGCCGAGTCACTCGGCCTCTGCATCTCTCTGTATGCCCCCAGTGAGGACCATGGTGCATCATCTGCCCCTATGGACCACAGATAAAGGCCAAGAGGCAGGAGAGAGGCACTGCCTGATTTTCCAAGTTCCTTGGGTCTTATGTGTGACACTTGACACAAGAACTCCTTCAGCATCTTCCATATCACTGCTGTGATGAGGGAGGCACCTTTTTCTTATATTTTTAAAGACAACAATGGATGTATTGATCCACCAGTGAAGCACAGTATCACAATAAACTCCAAGTCAATCTTTCCTCTTCCTTTCCTTCAGCTCCAGCATAATAGGGCATAGGAAGTAGTACATGTGACCTTTCTAAATTATGAGTGGTCATCAGAAAGTCATCTTAATTTTTACTCCTCTGTGGTGTCTGCTCCTTTCCCTGACTGCCCATTCCTCTTTTACTTCCCAGTATACCTAGGGCAGTGCTCTACCCCTTGCAGGAGTCATGTGTTTGTTGATTCATGATAGGATATAAGCCAACAACCCTGGAAGGGCTCAGGTGACCAGCCACGAGATCCCTGTCAATTCACAGCCTCGTCATGGTGGCCTCACCAGCAGGGGCAGGTTCAGATGCTGAGGCCTACAGGCCTGCAGGGCATACTCCGGCGGGGAGACCACTATAGGAAGAGGAGATGGTCAAGATTTTGGCTTGAAGAAACTAAGTCACATGCCACCCACTGACTGAGTCACTAGCATAATAATCACATAACAGTGTTGATACGTATGAGATTGTTATGCTGGTAAGAAGATAAAAGGGGAGCCTGGAGTGAGGAGGGGGCCATATCACTGCAGTCAGGGACAACTGGGATGCAGGGTTTCAGAAGAAGGCCATCAAAGAAAGGGAACAAAGGAAGATGGCTGTCCTAGGTCACAGCAGGTTTCAGGAAGGTGGTTTTTTGGTTCATCTATAGATTGAGTAGACATATAAGCTGACCAGGGCAGGACAGATGGAGCCAGAAGAGAAGAAGGAACAGAGAGGATGCTCAAGGCATAGCTGATCCCTTTGCTCCCAAAACAAAGCTCTAAATTCCTCAGGAGCAGTTTGATCCAAAGTGATTCACATTTGATCAGGGAGTGAAAACCCATGTTCAGCCAGGGTTTGGTCAAGCCTGGCCAAGGGACCTGCTGGCCCCATGGCTGCACTTCCTGGTGCCCAGCCCTCAGAGCATCATCCTCTTTAGGGCAGTGGCTGCTCCACTCCGCCCAGACTTGAGGACTTCCTCTTGAAGTTGGCTCTGCTTCTAACTGAGGGGAGCTTTGTTGACACTAATGAGCTTAGCTGACATTTGTCTTGGCAGCTCCCCAGGGTGAACTCCATCTTCCTCCTGCCTCTGGGAAGAAAATGCCTGAGGAATCTAAGGAAATCTGTCCTTCACAAAGTGCAGGTAAGGACAGAGGAGAGATTTTGTTAAGACATTTGCCTCACTTGCTGCCTCAAATCAATTGGGAAAAGATCTGGGGATATAACTGATTTTAATCTGGATATCAGATAGCAGATAGCTCTCTCTTCATGGAAACAAAAGCATGAGAAATGTCACCAGGAGACAGTAAATGGTATTGGTTCTAAGGAAAAAGACAACTGCCATGGGAAACCCCTTTTGGTGACAACCTAAACCTTCTTCCTGCGAGTGCTGCTTATTCTAACACCTCTGAAAGGAGTGAATTGAACGTAAATCACTTATCTGCAAGTACAGTTTGAAGCTGAAGAAGATGAAGAGTCCACAAGAGCCAAAGTACAAACTTAAGTATATATTCACCCACATTTAGAGATCATCTCAAGAATCAGTTTTACACACTGAGGATGAAAGACAGATGATTCACCAGAATCTATTTATAACTATGTATATCTTGTTTGAAATGTTTTCCCCTTAAATATATCTGTTGTTTTGGGGGAAATAAAAAAAAAAAAAAGAAAGACTAGATGAGCTGTGGGATGATGACCTGAAGGACATTATACATTAAAAAAAAAGAAAAGGTCACTAAAAAGATAGAAAAGATAAAAACAGGTATCAGATGAGACTTGGACATAGTCTTTAGAACACAGAAAAGCTAACGTAAATGGCAGAAATGGTGATGTTAGAAAGCTGAACAGATGATTCAATATGTGGCTTGAGAAGGCAGAACAACATATTACAAGGAAATGTGCAAATCTGGAACAAGAAAACCAAAAGGGAAGAACATCTTCAGCATTTCTCAAGTGGAGACAATTGGGGGGAAAAATCAAACCTCATGTGCAATAGTGAAGGAGTCTATGGACAAAATATCTAATAACTTGGGAGCATCACAACAAAACGGAATACATTCACCCTCGTGACAAAAAGAACTGGTCAATACACAGCTATTTCAGGAGGAAGTATATGATCAAGAGCTGGTAATACTGAAGGAAGAAGCCCAAGTTGACTGAAGGTGAAAAGCAAGACTCCAGGAACTGTTGGAGGACCTCCTGAAATGTTTCAACAAATAGAGGAGCCCCGGAGGTGTCCACATGGCTAGGCCAAGAAATTTGTACAACATGGCTTACTGACTAGAGGAGATCTATGTAGGTGCCCATTCCAAAGACAGGCAATCCAAAAGAATGTGAAAATTACAGAACACTGTCAGTTGAATCACAGGCAAGTAAAACTTGTGAAGGTAATTAAAAATTGGATGAAGCATTACATCAATAGGGAACAACCAGAAATTTAAGTTGTATTCAAAAGATATGAAATGAGAAATGTCATTGCTGACCTCAGGTGGTTAAAAGCAGGGAATATTAAAAAAAATGTGTATTTGTGTTTTGCTGATGATTCAAAGGATCATAACAAATTATGGACATTTCGAAGAATGGGAATGCCAGAACACCTAACTGTGCTCATGTGGATCCTGTACACGGGCCAAGAGGCAGTCATTAGAACAGAGTAAGGGGACACTGCTCCGTTTAAAACCAGGAAAGGGGTGGCTCAAGGTTGCATTGTTTCATATTTATTTAATCTGTATATTGAGCAAATAATCTGATAAACTGCATTATATGAAGAAGAATTTGGCATTAGGATTGGCATCTGGAAGACTCATGATATATATTCAATATATTCAAATGACACAACTTTGCTTGCTGAAAGTGAAGAGGACCTGAGGTACTTTCTGATGGAGACCAAAGACTGTATAGTCTTTAACAGGGATTACAACTCAATATAAAGGAAACAAAAATCCTCACAAATGGACCAGAGAACAACATGATAAATGGGGGCAAATGAAAGTTTCCAAAGATCTCATTTTACTTGAATCTACAATCAATGCTGATGGAAGTTAGAGTCTGGAAGTCAAATGACATTGGGCAGATCTGCTATAAAGAGCCTCTTTAAAGTATAAAAGAGAAAAGATGTCTCTTTGAGAACGAAGATATGTGTGATCTAAGTCATGGTGTTTTCTGTTGCCTCATCTATATGTGACAGTTGGACAGTGAATAAGGAAAGTGGGAGAAGAATGAATTGTGTTGGTGAAGGACACTGACACCGTCGTAGACTGCCAGAAAAACTGATGAATCTGTCTTGCAAGAAGACAGATTGTCAGCATGCAACCTACCAGTGGGATGACATGGCTTCAACTCACATACTTTGGCTATGTGACCAAAGGCGGGACCAACTCCTGGCAAAGGACATTATGACTGAAAGCAGAGGATGAGTGGCAGAGGGGAACACCCTCGGGGAGATGGAATGACACACTGGCCACACAATGGGCTTGTCCATCAATGGCTGTGAGGACAGCATAGCAGGCAGTGTTTCATTGTGTTGTACAAATGGTCTCTATGAGTTTAACTGAGGAAACAGAACTCAACAATAAAAAACAACAATTGCTGTTATGTGTCAGTGAGTCAATTGCAACTCGTAGTGACCTTATGAACAACAGATCTGAACTTGGCCTTATCCTGGGCCATCACCTCCATCTCCGATCAAGCCTATTGGTAAAGTCACAATGTCTTTCCATCTTGTTGAGGGCTTTCCTCTCTTATGTTGACTCTCCACCTTCCCAAGCACGATGTCCTTCTAAAAGGACTGGTCCCTCTGAACAACACTGCTAATTATTCACTTTCCATTTTCTTTGGAATTAAACTGAAATGCCAGGCAGAAATGTGGCAGAGATCTTTTAAGGGAGTATAAATAGATAAAACAGAGAATTCTGTGTACCCCTAACTGGCATGTATTGAGGGTGCTTCACACACGTGAGACAAACTCGGTTATTGGATCCCACATCGGAACATCTCAACAGCATTGGCCATTTGAGACCATTCGGTCAGAGACAGAAGTATTCCCTGTGCAGCTGGAGCTGATTATTTTCTTCTCTGGACTCTAAACTTTCAACTCACAGTGACCTCATGTGACAGAGTAGAACTGCCTTATAGCATGTTGATTGAGGGCTGTTGAGTCTGTGATGCTGTATCCAGGAAGACACAGTGGTCACTGCTGGGGGCTATTTATTAAGGGCTCTTGGATAGATTCCCACTATGAGATCAGAGAATTAGATACAAGGACAATGGAAAAGTACTGTCCTGCAAAAGCCAGATTAAAAAAAATGTTGGACGTTTCTTTTGCAGGTGTTCAGGTAGACCATCCATAACAAAGACCACTGAGTCAAATGCTCCCATCACAAATCAGCTGGCAACAAGAAGTCCTGAGAAAAAAAACTCTGCTGCCCCTCATCCCAGATGAAGTAGGAATCTCATTTCACAGGCAAGGCAAAATGTGTGAAAGCCAAAACTTCTATAAGACAGGTACTTATCAGAGAAAGAAAATGCAAGCATTTTCCATTAAATAGGAAGCTATATAAGAAAGTGATTGCACCTTATCAAAGGCAGAAAACTTACACGGCCAGGAAAGACAAGGCAGCACGGTTGAGTCCTGGTTCTCACGGAGCACTGTCTTTTCCAACACTGTAAATGGGGAGGCACACACTACTTCCGCCCTAAACCAATACTAATGAGCTTTCTGACTCTGCAGCTGTCAAGCGTGCCATCAGGCATAAAGCTCAAATCCAGTGCTGCCACAGTCAATGCCTGGGGAGAACCCAAACCAGGCCAAGAAGAGAAAAAACAGCCTGGAGTCCCTTTAATTTTGAGGCGATTTAATATTATTCCTGGAGCCTTGCACATAGAGAGGCCAAGACCCAAAGCTCTGAAGTGAGGCAGTGTGAATTCCAGCTGTGGTCTGGGTGGCTGGCTGCAGTTCTCTGTGCGTGTTCCTGTACCCAGACAATAGGAGCAGAAAGCAACATGGCCTCTCTGACACATGAGATCACGACTGGGGTTCAGAATGTTTTTCTTTCAAAGAATTAAACACCTTTTGCAAAATTAAACAACAACTAGCACCCTTTGCAATGGAATCAATTTCAACTCACAGTGCCACCCCCGCTACCCCCCCGTCACAGAGCACAAGTGCCCAATAGGATTTTCTTGGCTGGGAGCTTTAGGAGAGCACACAGCCAGGTCTTTATTTCTCTTACAGAATCAGTGGGTAGATGCAAACTGTCAACTTTTCAATTAACAACTGAGTGTTTAATTGTTGCACCACCAAATTTCCTAGAGTGTTAGAATCTCCTTTCCAGACGTGTTCACCTTTGATAATGACTTTTCCAGGCACATGTCTGTTAGAGGGCCACAACCTGGAATGGCAGGGCTCAGACGCCCGCTTCCATGTGCTCACCCCGGTCTAACATGCAGAAGTCCAGCCCTGCACCCTCCAGCTCTGTGCCCGGTGCCCACATTCTAACTTCCACCTCCCCACCCTGCCCAGTGAAACCAGAACCCTGGCCCACTCACTCTTCAGCCCACTTGCCTGGACTCCAGCTCCTCCATCGGAAGTGGGGGCAGGGCCAGGCTGAAGTTAGGGAGCAGCAGGTACATGGAAATGGCGGTGGAGAGAACCAGGGCAATGTGCCCCCCACCCCCCGCCCCCAACACACAAGCAGAGCAGGGGTGCTGTCCCAGCAGGCATGCGGCAGGAGCGACTTATGCACGCCAGGGTGTGGGGGGCTGGGAGAAGCCACAAGGACAGCTAAATCTAGGGCCTGGGGAGGGGACTGCAGAGATTTTTATTTAGCACTGTTCCTCTAACTAACCACAGCATACACGATTGCAAAGCATAAACAACCAATTACTTGTTCCTCAACAAGCGGAAATGGCAGCAGGTAGAGGAGAGATCTTTAAATAGCATTACTGAGCTGCACGAACATTTTCCTCATGAGCTAGGCCAGGAATCGGCAAACTGCAAAGTAATCTGGCCTACTTAGCAGCTGCCAGTCAGCCGCAGTGCCCAAATCAATGCTGGAGCCATGTGAACCCAGCCCATGGCCATGCGGATGCCAGCTACCTCCCGTTTTGGTTCAAGGCTATGCTATAGTCTCAATGACGTCCTTGAACTTCTGCTCTATCAGAAAGCAGGAAGCTAGCTAGTGCAGCCAGGCAAGCCTCATGCTAGGTCAGGAGAATGGAGTAGGGGTTTGGAGAAAAGGATATACTATTTACACACTGAGGTCTAACCTAGAAATACTTAAGGGCTGATTGGACACCTTTAAGGCCAGGAAAAAACTCCTTCTAGGCCAGATCTGAGTCAATTTAGGGTGATGCTGGGAGAGGCTTTGAGGTTTTAGGTCAATCAGAACACCTTGAAGGAGACCTGAGCTGGCTCCAATTACAACAGAAAATCCACATTGTCCTGGAAAAGTAAATGGGGGGGGGGCAGGAGGGGGTGGGAGTTACAATATAATGTAACAGGTGACCTCAAGAATATAATTGTTTGAAAGAAATATGCCTTTTTCCTTAGTCATTCTAGAAGTTAAATGTCTCCCGAGAAAATGCTGAGGTCAGAGATTTACCCATTAGAATTGTGAGGACTGCTGGTAAGATTCAGGAAGACTAATAGAAATGACAGATATGAAGACAGACAGAAACCTTGCAGGTTGGTGGCACCAGAGTCTGACAGAACAAGTAAAAGCTCACCTCATGCTGAACACAAAACTCAGCCCTGCTCTTAGGGAAAAACCAAGTGTGCTGGATTTGATCTATTTCAAATGCATGAAAGATGCCAAGGAGACCCAACTATTACTCCACCTACCTCTCTTATTCATTAAAAGAGTGCACAGAGAGAGCTGTAAAAACTCAAGGTGGGTTCTGAACTGAATCCATGAAGAGGACAAGAGCTGGCAGCCAGCTGAGAGAACGTTATTGCCTTTGCTGCCTTCCAGAGCAGCAAAAGTAAGATGCAAACAGAAAACAGGTGGCCAGTCACTGCCATGTGGCCTGTTAGGGACTATGAGAGAAGTGGATTCAAGAAGATATCAGATGACAGTCAAGGTTCTGTCCAGCCTCAAGGTTCTGTAAGAATCTATGACCCAATCAATCTAAAGTTGTCTCACTAAAGTGAAGCTTCGATACAATGATAGTCTTTCCATTTTCTGTTGGAACTGAGTTTCGATACAATCAACCCAGCATTTGGGATTATAATCAACTCAAAGAACCCAAGTGAATGAGAGGTTAAGGGTATGCACAAGTGGTTGGGACTGAGAGGGGCTCATGGAGTGAATCTCAAGCACTACTCTTCCGTCTTAAATCCTCTATCGTCCAGGAAAGAAGCAGATAAACTGGGTCAGCTCAATGTTGACCCAGAGACACAAGAACAACTTGACACTGGATTGGAAAACTACTCTGGGAGTTTTGTCCTTACTATATGAGACCCATGGTAAATTAGAGAGGTCTTGTTGTTTTGTAGAGAGAGTGAGTGCTTCCTTCAAATGTCACAACACTTTTAGGTAGATTTGACATTTGCAAATAGTTTCTCTTTAGTATTTAGCGGTAACTTGAAATTCAAATGTCCCTCAGATAATATTCATCATGAATATGCATCAAGCTGAGTCTCAGATAAATAATAATTACTTGACAATTGATATGCTGAAAGGGGAAAGTAAAATCCAAAGAATGGATCTGTATTTGACAGGGAACTTTTGGAAATGGCATGAGAGTTGTGGATGGACCACAGGCCAGCACACTCAGGTTTTGTGACTCTGTCAGCCATCACGCTCAGGGGGTGGGGCCTCTCGGGACCACCACACAGTCATTGATGACAGCAGATGAATGCTTTGATTTGACAAAGCAGATTGCTTCCCCCTCCTTCACATGTAAGAATTCATAAATGGCATTCACTCTTCTTTGTTACTGTTTTGGGAACACCTGCAGACCCTTTCAGATGCAGCACATATTCTTCTGTTTCTTGTTTAGAATTTGATAAAAGGCTCAAATAACTTAGGAACAACTTTCCACTGGCGTTATTCTTTAGAAGCCTGATCAATGTGAGACTGTGTTCCCAGGGCTGCTCACGGTTCATTCCTAGAAGATCAGGGAAGGTACTGGATACCTGCTCAAGGTCACACGTGAGAAAGAACAGCTCTGCCTGGTGATTCGCTTCACCCAATAGCCAGCAGAGGAGAGAGACATGAAACAGTGGCGATCAGTAAATGCTGCCCAGAGAAGTCTTCTCCCTGCCCTTCTAAACGCTCAAGTTCAGAATGCCAGTTCGCAACTAGGAAACAGCTATCTTTCTGATCTCTCTCCAAATGACCTAAATCCCAAATGTCCTCTCCTTGTCTTCATCCATCCACTCGAGATACCCTCCTTTCTGACTTGCACCTTAGAATTCGGTCAGTCTGTATGAGTGACATGTCTTTACTGCCTCCTAGTTGCTTAAGAAGAAGCCCAGACTTTGAGGTTCCAAGGAAGATGTTTACTAGAATGCTCTTCACAGACATCAAATGGAAGAAATGGCTGCTAAAAGCAGCATGAGAAATCAGTTCTCTGCCCTCCAGAGTAGCTGGAGGTCAACAACTTCTTGAAGTTCAAACAACACGTTGTTCCCAAGATGTAAGCCATTTTCTCTCATCAAGGTTCAAAGCATATCCCTAAATTCCTTTCTGTTAAATACCACTTTAATGAATTCTAAGGCCAGTACTGTACCAAATACTGCCTGGAATTTAGGTGGATCATGGGTGGAGGCTTGGAAGTCTGTTAGGGGCAAGGAGGTTGGGATACCAGGGTAGTTTGCAAGGGACATTGGCATCAATTCCCATTTTAAGCATTGTTAAGGATGGCATCACAAGTCACACCTGTCCTGACTCGAAAGGCAACCCTCCTCATTTCAAACACCAGGAAAATAAGGCAGAGGAGGAAAGGTGGAATTGTGTGCATCTTTTTTCCTTGGTAAGATCAAGTCATCCAACAACATCCAGCCAAGCCAGCCAAGCCCGATTCAGAGCGGGGAATACGTGGGGAAACCAAGAATGTTTCTTTCCATTTCAACTGCATCCCCCATCTCTCCCCCTCCCGCCTCCCAGTGTCCCCAACAAGCGATGATCGAATAGCATGAGCGGTTCTTTTTGGCTCCCTGGGTTTTAAACCTGCCCTGAGCCCCTGGTTAGGGAAGGCGCATCAAGCCCATGAGAGTGGAGCCTGTGAAGTAGGGAGGAGGCTGAGGAGAACCTGGGCCACAGCCACTTGCGTCTGTTGCTGCTGCTGCTGGAGGAGCTGCTGGAGAAGCTGCATCTGGTGGTGGGTGGACAGTGGCGTCCCAGAGCCCAAGCCCGGTGGCTTCGAGGCAGAGGTGGGGAGGAGCATCTTGGGTGAAGCTGTCAGCACAGGCTCCTGCGGATGAGGTGAAACCTGGAGGGAATAAGGGGAAGAGACAACAGGATGTGACATGTGGGTAAGTGCCATCTTTAGGTAGCTCACACTCTCTGTGCAGACCCAGGTGTAAAGGTGGCCTCAGGGAAATGCCTTCCTTATAACACAGAGCTGGAAATGCTGAGGTTCCCACAGAAAGGGAGAAGATAGTGTAACAGCCTAGGCTAGGACCATAGAATTGGAAAATCACATAGAGCACACCAAAAACTGGTTCTGTGTGATGGGAGACAGCAATGATGATGCCTCAGCTGATACTGGTCCATCTCAAGTCCTGGCTTCCAATTAGGCCATATTGTTTAATCATTGGAGGTTCTAGATTTCTAGAAATCTATTTTCTACAAAAGTAGTGACCTACAATCCACTATGAGAAGAGGAAGGGGGCAGATTTAATCTTTTACATTGTTGCGTCTTTAGGGCTTCCTCTTTCAAAATCTGGAGGTTTTGATGCATTGACAAAGAAGGAAGAAGTGGTCATGTGGGAGGAGGCTCCCCAAACCCTTAACTGCCTCCTTTCATGGTGAAACTCACCAGAGGAGAAAGTGTGGACATAAAAGCAACAAAGGACTGAGAGAGGAGTTTCTGTCGCCAACCATCTCCTTTTCCCAACTGGACACATCTATTACCATTGCTTCCACACAGCATTATTCCACTGCAGGGAATATTATTATTATTATCATTATTATTATCCCATCATTCCACTGGTTTCTGGTAGCTCTGTTTTTGGTTCTTCTCCAGACAATGCATGAAGGAGGCACCCAACCACAGATGGCTATTGCCACTTGGAGGGGAACAAACTGAGTAACAATTATCCAACAAGTCATTCTGAACAGTATAAACTTGCAAACTCAACAAACTTCTGATGCACTGGCTTGAGGCATGAATGATCAGGAAAGAGTGGTACATTTGGGGCCAGCCTGTAGTAATTTCTCCTCTAGTTTCTGTCTTTCTTTTTGATCTTCAGGTTACAATTTGGTCTCAAGTGTTTAGTTTCTTAATCTGGAACGTAGTAAGGAACTATTTTGGGCCTCAGACATGGCCTCTGTAAGATGTGAAGGTGGGAGGTGATAAAAGCTAAGTTTGTCTCTCAGCTCCCAACATCCAGTGAACCAATGTTCACACTCCACAGAGCTATGATAGAGGAGTATTAAGACTTACAATCACTAGCCATAGGCAGGGAAGCTGAAACACACTTTGCTCCATTAATTAAACTACAAGACATTCTGTGTGTGGGAATGCAAGCATAAGCCTTGCAAACCACTTTGCAGACATGAGATGCCTTTAAGAGCAAAGGGTGCTAGAGAGAAGTAGGAGGTCAAATGTATTATGGGATTGTGGGAGAGCAATACACATCAGCCTCAGCTCTGAAGCACCCCAGCACATGGTAGAGCTGAGCCAGCACCCGCTGAGTCCTAGAAGTCAGACTCTTCCACGGAAAGGGCCTGTGCTCAGACATTGCCACTGTGCTGGGGAGTGCCTGAGCCTGCAGGGTCTGGGAGATGGCTGGTGGTGGCTGAGGCTGTGACACAGGCTGCTCTAGCAGGCAGCAGGGACACACATGTGCAGAGCCCTTGGATGGGCCTCTCTTAGTTACCTTGGAGTCCGTGTGGGCTCCTCCTTCAGTCCCAACAGCATCAAGGTCAGTTACCCCTCGACTGAACTCCAAGATATCATTCCCTGGAAGTGGGACATCTATTGCATCGATATCAGTCTCCTCGGCAGTGGCTGTGGTGGCCCTCTCGGCTCCGGTGAGCTGGCGACCTGGAGAGACAGAAGAGTGGCAGGGAAGGAAATGGTGAAGTTAAGAATGGGGCTTTATCTTCCAGTAATTATTTGTTTCTGCTGGGTCAATTCTGTCAGGTGGTAGCCCTACGTGTGCAGGGAAGTTTCAATGCTGTGACCCTGCAGAAGCAGATCACCAGGCCTGTTTCCCAAGGTGCCTCCGGGTGGGTTTAAACCACCAACCTTTAGGCTAACAGCTGAATGCTTGGTTGTTTCTGCTACAAGTTGACTATAGTCCAGTGCTTAACTATTTGTATTTGTACTCAAGTCTAGCTCTAGAACATTTTCACTCAAGAATGCTGAATTCTCAATCTAGTCAGACGCTCCTATATTTTTTTAAAAAATCTTTTTATGCAGTATTTTTCCTTTTGTGACTGAGATATTTCACTCAGCACAGTGTTTTCCAGGGTCACCTGTGTGGTGTAATGTTTTACAAGTTCATTATTTTTTCAGTGCTGCATAGTATTCCATTGTATGAATATGCCATCATTTTTCTATCCATTTGTTTATTGATAAGGCAGGACTGATTGGGAGATTGGGAGGAGAATAGGAAAAGAGTGGATAGATAATGAATACTGTATTAGAACAGATAAAGGAAAGAACTGTTTAGAAGTATATTAAGACAACAGTCCAGAATAACAGGTACATGGCAGAGAGGACTGGGGAAAGGGGAGGGGAGAAAGGGAAGGAGGATACTGTGCAACAATGAATGAATAAAAATCCAACTTTTCTGTAAACTTTTGTGAAAATCACAATTAAAATAAAAAATTTTATTATAAAAAAAATCAATCTAATATGTAGGTGACCAAATTAGCAGTAACAATTGAAGGACAGTAAAAAGGAAAAAAAAAATCAGGAAGAAATGACAGAAGAGTAATGTCAGTTAAGGACAAAATATTCTCTCCAAATATTGTGATTAAACAAAAACAGCCTTTGAGCTCTGGTGTTGGAAAAAAGCACTGAATATTCCATGGATGGCCAAGGGAACCAATAGATATGTCATGGAAAAGGTGCAGCCGGCGTGCTCTTTGGAGTTAAGAATGATGAGGCTTCCACTCACATACTTTGGGCATGTTGCTAGGAGGGGCTATTCTTTGGAGAACGACATGATGCTGGCAAGAGTAGAAGGTTGGTGAAGGCGAGGAAGACCTTCAACCAGGTGGATTGACCCCGGTGACTGCTGCAATGGGTAGTTGTGTGTCAGGAAGTATGAGGACGGCACAGGATAGAACAGGGTTAGGATTTCTTGTTTACTGGCTCGCTCTGAGTCATACTTGACTTGACAGCACCTAACAACAACAACAACAACAACAACCATATTGTGAAGTCTGGTTGGGTTGTTTCTTATCTGTTTTTTTTTTTTTGAGCTTAAGGTTTAGCTTGTTGCATATTCATTAATTTTAAGTAAACAGTAACTTTTATGGTAAAAAAAAATCTTTAAGGCTCTGAAATAAAGGGCACTTTGTTTTTGGTTTTTTAAACCATAAAAGTTAATACAGTAACTGGGGTAGTGGGGGTAGGTATGTCAGAATCAGTGAGACTGGCTCAGGACAGGGCAGGCTTCAGAGCTGCTATACATAGGGTCACTATGGGTCGCAGGCAACTCGATGGCACAAAACAACTACAACAACAGCAACAAAGGGTCTGGGTTTGAATGCTTTACTAGGTTAGCATGACATTTATATTGAAAGAGCACAGGGTTCCTGGAAGAAGAGGGTGACGGTCTCTCCCACCACATGCCCAGACCAGGAATGGAATCCAGCTGAGGGAAAGAGCCCTGAACTGGGAGTGTCGAGGAGCAGGGCTTCCTCATCCGTGCTTCGAATGAGTTTCAGGAGAAGAGCCAAATCATCTAGCTCCTTGTGCCCCAATCTTATAAACTGTAAAATCAGAACTGAGTTAGATAGATGGGCAGGCAGGTTTGCTAAGAGCAGGAGTTTTGAGGCCCCTATTCTAATTCAGTATCAGCGTCTCACCCCTCAGAGCCGGACTCTGATTCTTGTTCCAAGACTAGAAACTGGAGAAGAGGCCTGGAGTCAGAAGCCAGTGAAGGGAATAAAGACAGGGGGCGCTGGTCTGCACACCTTCCTCATCTACTCTCTGCTTCCTACTTAGTTTAGGCTCCTTTCTCCTGATGACAGTGACTATATACACTCTGTGATTATACACACATCGTACTGCTTAATATCAAAGTATTATAATCATTTCTTCTTCGTTCCTTATCTCTGTTTCTCAGACTACGCAAACAATTGATACTTCTCTGGCACTTCAAAGGAATTATTTTCTTTCACTGCATTCAGGATTACGTTCATCACTACCCTCTTCAATTACATTTCTTAAAGGCTTCCAGAGATTGAGCGCCAAAGTATAAGATCGAACAGATTAATCTAAGAGAAAAATATTGAGAGCTGATTCTCTAACCCTCAAGCCCACCCCGAGAAGCAGGCTGCAGCTGTGAGAAAAGCCTGCTTTCAGGGAGGAGGGGAATTATCCTAAGAAGTTTATACAAGTAATAAATACAAGTATTTTAGGGAAATGAGTGTGCTTTTTAGGAAAGTAAGCAGTTTGCTTGGTTTTCCTCTGGACTACTCCAGGTGCTGGGGAGATCCCTGGGTTTAGGGTTGGAAAGGTACTCAACCAAAATGATGGTCTTGGGCTGTGGCCTGCTGGAGAAGACCTGACGGCTCTCTGTCCCTCTGCAAATCTGAGGCAGGGGGCAAAGAGGGCAGCCACTTCCCTCCCGCCACACCTCTGAAGCCTGCTTTCCACCACCTTCCTGTCTTCAGAAGCAACTTCCTTGGCTTTGGAGAGGTTCTGCCTGGAAGCGAGCAGGCTCATGGATAACTCCTGAGCCACTTTTCAGTAGGTAGATGAGGTGGGAGGAACTGAGCAGGAGGTTTTGCATATCTGAATAGACAACAGCATGGTAGGATGGTCTTGCAGGCAGGGAGGAGAGATGTCCAGGAGGAGTGGGGCCTCTAATATTTACCACATGGTACTGGATCTGCCTATCTGTCTCTCTGCCCTCTACTTGAGGCCATGACCATGCCATGCCTTCTTGATCTCTCTCCTAAGGATCTAGCACAAAGAAGGCATTTAATGAATACAGATGAAGAAGACAGTGTTATGACCAGGCAGTAAAACAGGGAAGTGGGCTATAGGAAGAAGCAGCCATGCTGCCAACCCGTAAAGCCCAGTGAGGACAGTTCAGTAGACCCAGACACAGGGAGTCTGGATATGCTTGTGCTAGGAGCCCACTGAGACCAGACATCTCTTAATTTCTAGCTCTGTTCCTAGCGGAGTCAGAAAACTCACGAATTAACCAACCAACCAACTTACTAACTTGTTGTTAGGTGCCATCGAGCAGAGTATGACTTCTAGTGACCGCACGAACAACAGATCTGAACCCTGTCCTATCCTGTGCCATCCTCACGATCTCTGACACCCTCAAACCCATTGTTACAGTCACTGTATCAATTGACCTGGTTGAGAGTCTTCCTTCCCACCTTCATCTCTCTACCTTCCCAAGCATGATGTCTCTCTCCAAGGAAAAGCCTCTCCCAGCAACAGGTCCTAAGTATGTGAGAGGAAGCTTCATCATTTTTGCCTGTAAGGAGCCCTCTGGCCGCACCTTCTCCAATACGTTTCTATTTGTTCTTTCAGCATCCATGGGATATTCAGCACTATTCTCCAACACCAATATTCAAAGACATCAATTCTTCTGTCATTCTTATTCATTGTCCAGCTCTCAATTGCATAGCAAGTGACTGAGAAGACCATGGCCGGAATCAGGTGCACCTTAGTGGGCAAACTAACATTATAACAAACAAATAAACTTAAAAATATCTTTGAACGCTTTCATTTGCGGTAATAAAGTGCCCAAAGCTTGTTGTAAAGTGAGGCTTCCTGCTGTGCAGGGGGTTGTAGAATGGTTACATCTAGAGCATCTTAGAGCCATCTTTACAGATGTAACATAGCTAATAGGTACAGACCAGTAGAGTAATGGGTCTGGGAAAGATGAAGCCAGGGCTAGCCGAAGGAACACGGTGGATGGAAGGCTACAATTATCACATGTACAGCTAAGATGAGCACTTAGCTAACAGTCTTCTTTAGATCCTATCAGATAGGCTAGCCAGTGGTGCCTTGGAAAAGAATCCTGGTGATCTCGTTTCAAATATGCACCCACTGAAAGACTTACAGAGCATAGCTCCACTCTGACATACATGGCGTTGCTATGAATCAAAGCTGACTGCACATGGATGGGCTGTTTGTCGGTTGATTTGCTTTCAATGGTGCATGACAATAGAGGATGAGCATCTAGCTCAATAGGAAACAAGCTTTGAAGGAATAAGAGACTAAGATAGGTGCAGGGGTGGGGTAGGGGAGGGTTACTGAAGGTGTTCCAGGAAGAAGCAGGGCACAGACTTGGAGAAACAGAACTCGGGGTGTGTCTACCACTGCAATTGTTCTGTAGAAAGGAAAGAAAAGTGAGTGAGTAACACCAAGAATTTTTCATCCTTTCAAATTCATTCTGGATTTAGAGAATGGGTGTGCAGGGGACCAGACAGAAATTCATTCTCTAGGTAAGAAATAATGAGGACTTCGGCTTAGTGGTAAGGAGTTGTGCTGTGAACTCAAAGGCAGGAAGTTTGAATCTAGCAGCTATTCCAAGGGAGAGAGAAAGGTAACCTCCTCCTGTGTAATGTATAGCTTCTGAAAACCCACTTAGGGGTCAGCTCCAACTTGAGAAAATAAGCTAAAAGGATAGAGGGGGAAGTGATAGAGAAAAAAAGAGGAGAGATCTTTAGAGGGTCTACTATCTGCCAATTAAGGCAGGGCAAGTGAAGGATGAGTATTAAAATTTCTGCCTTAGATGACTAAGTGGCGACTATGATCCTTTAGGGAAAATTCAGAGGGAGCAGAGTTGACCATAAAATAATGAGTTTGATTTTAAACCTGCTGAAAGTATAAAAGTCTGT